TCTTCCCCACTGCCTTCCTCGCGCCCACCACCAACCCCTCGCCCCTGGCATTCCTTGGCCCACCTGTGGGCGGCGCTGCTTCTCCATCATGTCCCTCCCCTGCTCACCTAAACCATAAACCCTCATCCCACCTTCCTTCCCTACCGCCCTCCTTAACCACCTTAACCCAGCCCGGCTCCCCCATCCCCCTCTCCAACCCACCACGTACAGCTTTCCCTCTCCCGCCACCCCCCTCCCTCTCCCTGCTGCCCGACCCCCTATCCTATTCCCCCTCACTGAGCACACCTCTCACCACCTCCCTCGCAGCTCCCGCTCCCATGTCATTACAATCCCCATCCTGCTGCCCTCTGCTCCTCCCATAGCCCCACCTCCCGCCTGCTCCCTGCCGGATGGTCGAGAATGGGCCGGGCTGGGCCTGGGCACGGCGCAGGGTGCGCAGTGAGAGGACGCCCCTCTTTGACCCCCCCTTCTCCCAACCCCCTTCTCCCGCATCCCTTCTCCCCATTCCCCATTCTCCAGTCTCCCCTCTACCACCCCCCAATCTCCCACCACCGTCTCCACTCTCCCCCCCCCCCCCCCCCCCCCCCCCCTCCCCCCACCACTCCCACTAGATTGCTGAGCCCACCTCAGATTGCTGAGCCTCACAGAAAAAAGCAGTCACCTCACACTCGCGGCAGCAGCACCGCCTCCCGTCAGCCTCGCCACCTTCCTCACGTCACGCCCACCCCCACCCCCTCGCCCATGAAACCCCTTGGCTCACCTCGTCCTGCGTGGGGTCGTCAGTCTCATCCATCTCCATCGAAACGCTCCCCTGGCCCCCCCCCACCGCCCTCGCCCCCACCTCCGCCTGCTGCTCCTGTTGCCCCACTGCCCCAATCTCCTCCGCCTCCTGCTCCTGCTGCAAGGGGAAAGAGGTGAGAGTGGGCTAGGGGGGTGTAAGGATGTGTGCTGTGAGGTGCGGGAGGTGAATAGATACTGGCAGATGAGGCGGATAGTCGTGGAAGGGCGGAGGGGCGTGGGTGTGAAGCAGTACAGGCTCCTACGAATACCTTCAAACAATGTGCCCAAACATCTCACCTGCTGGATGCACACGCACATCCCACCCGAGGCAGTGCCACCCGAGGCAGTGCCACCCGAGGCAGTGCCACCTGAGGCACGAACCGGTCACCTAACTGATTCCAACATCCCTTGCGCCTTCAGCCCTCACTTCACATTTCCCCACCCCATTCCCTTCTGCATTTAGCGCTCACTTCATGATTCCTCACCCTGGATGCCCTTCATCAAACCCTTCGCCCGGCAGCTGCAGTCCTCACTCACTCACCTGCTGGATGCACACGCACGTCCTCTCTGCACCCGCGCAGTCACGGCAGAGGCCCCTCTCCCACCAGCTGTCGGGCGCCCTCGCCTGGAGCACACGCACATGCCTCTTCTGTAATCCCTCCCCTCCTACTCGCGCCCTTACTCGCGCGCACGCCCACCCCCTCGCCCGTGTGTCCCCGTGGGCCGTGGCTCACCTGAACATGTGTCGCGGGGTCACGGGCATCAACCTTACTCTCCCTCTCCTCCGCCGCGCTCTGCAGCGCCTCGACCATCCTCTCCCTCTCCTCCGCCGTGCGTTGCATCCCCTTGATCGTTGCCTCCCGCTCCTTCACTGTGCGCTGCAGCTCTTTTACCAACAAGTCCTGCGTCTCCGCCAGCTTAGCAAACTGCAGGAGCACATTAGAAAAATGGCGTATGAATCCTGAAATCAGGGCTCGGGTGCGATAACTTCGCATTCAGGCATCCGGAAGAAAGGGGAAGAGGAAGGCAGGCAGGCAGGTGAGAGGTCAGGTATGTTAGAGGGGTGGTAATGGGGGTAATGTTAGAGGAGGGTAGGTGAGAGGAGGGTAGATGAGAGGGAAGTAGATGAGAGGGAAGTAGTTGAGAGGGGGGCAGATGAAGAAGTAAAGAGGTTTTATGCCACTCACCGCTCCCTTCTCCGCAGCTGCATCTTGCAACTCCTCGACTCGCCGTTGCATATCTTTTTCTCTTGCCTCAAACTGGTATGTGCAACAAGAAGGGTAGGTGAGAGAGAAGCAGGTGAGAAGGGGACGAGTGTGGATGGGTGAGAGGGGGTGGGTGAGAGAGGGGTACGTGAGCAACCATGCCACACCAAACATCATACTTCATTCCCCCCTCCCCGTCTCATCCCCTTCCCCCACCTTCATGCACGTGCAGCATAACGGCCCAGAGTAGCATACTAGCATACCTGATATAACCTGTCACCGGCATACTCAAATGCCACTTCAGCAAGACTGGCCCGCTCCTCATATGCCTCCGCCTCGTTGGCGTAGGCTTGATGCAGAACAATAAGTTTGGTATGCCTATCGCCGCCCACTTCAGAGTATTCTGCCGATGCGAAGGGAACGTAGAAAAAGAAAGAGAGAGAGCTCGTTCCCCATGCCACTCCCTTCCTTATGCCACTCCTCTCCCCATACCACCCCACTCACCCCCCGCTACACCCTTCCACATGCCACTCCTATCCCTTGCCACTTCCCTCTCCATGCCACGCACCTCCTCACGCCACCCCCTACCCTCCCTTTCCCATGCCACTCCCCTCCGCCTGCCACTCCCCTTCCCTGTCACTCCCCTCCCGCCATGCCAGTCCCCTATCCCGCCATTCCCCTCCCCCTGCCACCCCCCACCCTATCCCACGCTCCATCCCTGACACCCCCCCCCCCACAGCCGCCCCTCTCCCCCGCTCCGTAGGCCACCCCCCTCTCCATGCCACCCCCCTCCCCATACCACTCCCCTCCTCTAACCACCCCGCTATCCCTCGCATCCCCTTCCCTTCCCCATGCCACTCCCCTTCCCTGTCACTACCCTCCCCATGACACCCTCTTCACAATGCCACCATGCGACTCCCCTCCCCATGTCATCCACCTTCCCATGCCACCCCGTTCCCCACTCAACTCCCCCTCAGATATACCTGTTTGAGCCTTCATCAACTTGTTTCGGATCTCGGTGACGTCCTTTTCCTGTATTTTTGTCCACTGCGTCTTCATCCATGTACGGAAATCCTCCCAGTCGAGCGCTGTGAATAGGGCAGACACGGAGTGAATGTAAATGCAGAAGGGGAGAATGTAAATGCAGAGGGGAAGGGGCTGCGGGCATGGAGCACCGTGCCAAAGGGAGAGGAGGGAGAGGTGGGGGGGGGAGGGGGTGGGGGGGGGTGGGGGGGCGGCGGAGGGATGGATGGCCATGGTGGGGGGGGCTGTACGCACGGTACACCATGCCAAAATGACACGAGGGGCTGAGGGCATGGTGAGCAATGAAAATCTGACAGGGGGGCCTGAGGGCATGGTGAGCAATAACAAAATGGCAGGGGGGGTTGCGGGCACGGTGAGTCGTGACAAAATGACAGGGGGGCTAAGGGAGGCGGCGCACTCACCACATGGGTCGCTGGCGCTGCTGGTGCTACTTCTGCTGCCAGCGCTGGAGCTGCTGTTGAAGAAGACGCTGTCCTTGTCTTCATGCCCCTCATGGGCTGAGCGCTCCGCACTAGTGCTGCAGGTGTGGGCCTCCTCCTCATGCCCGTCATGAGATACTACAGCAGCAGCAGCTGTATGTGCAGCTGATTGTTCCCCGCCCCCGCCTCCCTCTCCTCCGTGTACGCCTGGTGGGAGGATAGGGGGGCATGGAGGGGACGTACACGAGGTGAGAGGCATGGAAAAAAAGGACAGCACCCTTTCTCCATGATCCATCTCCACCGTGTATGCCTGGGGGTGGGGAGGAGGGGGGCATGGGTAGGAAAACATGGGGGTGAGGGGCATGGGAAGAAGTAAAGCACCTCCCCCTGAGTTGAACCGTCTATGCCTCAGCAGCAGCAGTGGCGCGTTCACTCACCTCGTGGGAGTGTCTTGACAAAGCTGAAGCAGCAGCAGCAGTAGCGCGTTCACTCACCTCGTGGGAGTGTCTTGACAAAGCTGAAGCAGCAGCAGCAGCAGTAGCGCGTTCACTCACCTCGTGGGAGTGTCTTGACAAAGCTGAAGCAGCAGCAGCAGCAGTAGCGCGTTCACTCACCTCGTGGGAGTGTCTTGACAAAGCTGAAGCAGCAGCAGCAGCAGTAGCGCGTTCACTCACCTCGTGGGAGTGTCTTGACAAAGCTGAAGCAGCAGCAGCAGCAGTAGCGCGTTCACTCACCTCGTGGGAGTGTCTTGACAAAGCTGAAGCAGCAGCAGCAGTGGCGCTGAAGTATGAGAAAATGACAGGGGGCGGTGAAGGCAAAGGCGCACTTACCATGTGGCAGTGGGTGTGGGTCTCAAACCTCGGTGCGGCTGAGTGTGAAGCAACCTTCTCGCTAAAGCAACGACAGATAGAGACTTCAATGACAAAATGCATTCACTACATTGTGTTACTCCCACATGGGGGGTGGGCGTGAGTGTACCTGGGTTTTCGTTCTGCAGCAACAATTGTTATGTACTCACCAAGTGATCCTGAAACAGGAAAATCATCACCTGAGTTGGTGATTGCAGGGGAGCGGTTGGAGCTGTCGGCGTAGCTGGAGCTGCTGATCGCGCTGCCGATGATGCTGCTGGCGTAGCCAGTACTGCTGTGGGCGGGAGTGCCGAGCTCCTCCCCAAGCCTGGTGGAAGGTGTGGGGGTACCTCCGCTTCCAGCTCCACCTCCGCCTGTACGGGTCCACGTACAGGCCAAGGGGAAGGAGAGGGCAGAGCAGAAAGGAAAGTGATGCCTCAGAAGTCAGCCTTCTCAGCCTTGCAGCACCCTCACCGCCTCCCCCTTGCATTGCCGCCGGAACAGGTCCACGTACAGGCGAAGTGCTGGGAGGGAGAACGGGGAGGAACGAAAAGCAGTGAGGTCATTACGTGCCTGGGAAGTTCTAGGCACCTCAAAAGGCACGTCAGAACTTTGTGACAGTTCAGCCGTCGCTTGCCATGCAGCACCCTCACCTCACCACCTTACCTCCCCCCTCTTTTCTGTCACCTCAGTTGATTCACATACTGCCGAACTGCTGGGAAAGGGGGAGGAGAAAGGGTGCATTTTCAGGCGCTTCACAAGTTGCCCTGTTGAAGCATCATTGATTTTGTAGCAACTGTAGCAGCTACAACAGCAGCCCCCACAGCCATGCACTGCACTTTGAGGCGACGCAAATGACCTCACAACTGACACTCGCCATCTCACCTTCAACTGACTTCAGCAACCCCTCGCTCAACGCCCCAGCCAGCTCGAGCAGCCGCTGTGTCTCCACGTCAGCTGCTGGCGCGGGCGTGGGTGGTGCTGACGTGGCACCTAGTGATGACGTGGCGGCAGCCGGAGATACAAGGTGGAAGGAGGAGTGGCTGACTGTGTGGCTCTCGTTCTCGAACACCTGGAGAGATTCAAGAGAGAAAGAGAGAACGAGAGAGAGAGATAGAGATAGAGAGATAGAGAGATAGAGAGATAGAGATGGGGATAGAGAGAGAGAGAGAGAGAGAGAGAGAGAGAGAGAGAGAGAGAGAGAGAGAGAGAGAGAGAGAGAGAGACAGAGACAGAGACAAAGAGAGAGAGAGAGAGAGAGAGAGAGAGAGAGAGAGAGAGAGAGAGAGAGAGAATGGATCCTTGTGCATGTCTATACTTGCTCGGATCTAATACACGGACCGCTTGAGAGAGAGAATGGATCAACCCGACAACAACCCACAACCGCAAAGGCATCAACCCGACGACACAGGCGTGCTTGCCAGAGCTGGGAGCCTGGCACGACGTGGCAGCCTACGACGGGCTGCCATGGCCCTTGAAGCCACACCAGTCTGCACACCGCCCCTGTCTGTACTGGAGGCTCTGCGCGCCAAACACCCACCTGCCCCCCCCCCCACCTTACCGGACTGAACATTCCCTGAACCGCCCAACTGTCAGCGGTGTTCCCAATCATTTTCAAGGTGCTGGGGTGCTGCGAAAATGGAGTAGGAGCGGGTCCGTCAGGAACTACATTCAAGCACTTTCGCGATGTGGCACTGGTCAACGCTGCAGTGGGAAAACATCTGCACGCTCTGGTAAACACAATAGCGACAGGAAACTTACCACCAACAGTAGCCGACCTACTCACAGCTTCCCGCCTGATCGCTCGTACTAAACCTAATGGAGAAACATGTCCAATCACCATTGGCGAGAGCATCATATGTTGAACAGCCAAGACTGCTCTTACCTTGACTGCAGGCGCAGCTCAAGACTTCTTCCTGCCACAACAATTTGGAGTATCGGTTCCAGGGGGGCCAAGGGCAATCATCCACACACCCCTCCCGCACGTACCTCACGGTGAACCCAGGTGCTCTGGTCCTGCAAGCCGACCTAGCAAATGCCTCGACAGCGTCAGCAGGGCGGCCATAGTCGACTCTCTACGCGGATCAACACTGGACCCACTGCTGCCGCTAGTAAAGCTGTCTAACGATCAGCCCTCCGCCCTCTGCCTGGACGCGGGGTTCTCCCACCCACCTCTTTCAAGTGAAACTGGGGTACGGCAGGGGGGTCCCTTGGGTCCACTGCTGTTCGCTGCTGCCATCCACCCCGCGCTGACAAGAACAGCGTTTTCTTTCCAGTCCGTGGTATGCTTGGCATACGCGAATGATGTTACCTTCCTTGGGGCGTTTGACCACTTCACAGGTAGCTTCGAAGTGATTGCGCTGCGCCACAACCAAACGAAGTGCGCGGCCTGGCCGCAAGCAGGCCGACAGGCGGTGACCTTACCTAAGGGTGTCCCCTTCACAGATAGCAGTTTGAAAGTACTTGGCAGCTTCATCGGCGGCAACGACGCAACAGCTGAGTTCCTGCGAAGCAGCCTAGAACCAAAGGCACTGTGACTGATCTCACGGATGGAGCCGCAGCTAGCTTCTCTGCTTCTTAACCGGTGCATTCTGCGACGTGTCTCCTACCTCGCCTGAACGACACCGCTGACTCCATTGCCAGTCGGGGAGTGGTCTGGTAGGGGCCAGCGGCTGTTCGGAACATTGCTGACGGCGTGCGACATACGCCACCCACGAGGAGAGGCAGAGACCACACGTACCTGGGTCCAGGCTCGCTCCCTAACTCGCTTGGGGGCAGAGACCACACGTACCTGGGTCCAGGCTCGCTCCCTAACTCGCTTGGGGGCAGAGACCACACGTACCTGGGTCCAGGCTCGCTCCCTAACTCGCTTGGGGGCAGAGACCACACGTACCTGGGTCCAGGCTCGCTCCCTAACTCGCTTGGGGGCAGAGACCACACGTACCTGGGTCCAGGCTCGCTCCCTAACTCGCTTGGGGGCAGAGACCACACGTACCTGGGTCCAGGCTCGCTCCCTAACTCGCTTGGGGGCAGAGACCACACGTACCTGGGTCCAGGCTCGCTCCCTAACTCGCTTGGGGGCAGAGACCACACGTACCTGGGTCCAGGCTCGCTCCCTAACTCGCTTGGGGGCAGAGACCACACGTACCTGGGTCCAGGCTCGCTCCCTAACTCGCTTGGGGGCAGAGACCACACGTACCTGGGTCCAGGCTCGCTCCCTAACTCGCTTGGGGGCAGAGACCACACGTACCTGGGTCCAGGCTCGCTCCCTAACTCGCTTGGGGGCAGAGACCACACGTACCTGGGTCCAGGCTCGCTCCCTATCTCGCGTGGGGGCAGAGACCACACGTACCTGGGTCCAGGCTCGCTCCCTATCTCGCGTGGGGGCAGAGACCACACGTACCTGGGTCCAGGCTCGCTCCCTATCTCGCGTGGGGGCAGAGACCACACGTACCTGGGTCCAGGCTCGCTCCCTGTCTCGCGTGGGGGCAGAGACCACACGTACCTGGGTCCAGGCTCGCTCCCTGTCTCGCGTGGGGGCAGAGACCACACGTACCTGGGTCCAGGCTCGCTCCCTAACTCGCTTGGGGGCAGAGACCACACGTACCTGGGTCCAGGCTCGCTCCCTAACTCGCTTGGGGGCAGAGACCACACGTACCTGGGTCCAGGCTCGCTCCCTGTCTCGCTTGGGGGCAGAGACCACACGTACCTGGGTCCAGGCTCGCTCCCTGTCTCGCTTGGGGGCAGAGACCACACGTACCTGGGTCCAGGCTCGCTCCCTGACTCGCTTGGGGGCAGAGACCACACGTACCTGGGTCCAGGCTCGCTCCCTGACTCGCTTGGGGGCAGAGACCACACGTACCTGGGTCCAGGCTCGCTCCCTGACTCGCTTGGGGGCAGAGACCACACGTACCTGGGTCCAGGCTCGCTCCCTGACTCGCTTGGGGGCAGAGACCACACGTACCTAGGTCCAGGCTCGCTCCCTGACTCGCTTGGGGGCAGAGACCACACGTACCTGGGTCCAGGCTCGCTCCCTGACTCGCTTGGGGGCAGAGACCACACGTACCTGGGTCCAGGCTCGCTCCCTGACTCGCTTGGGGGCAGAGACCACACGTACCTGGGTCCAGGCTCGCTCCCTAACTCGCTTGGGGGCAGAGACCACACGTACCTGGGTCCAGGCTCGCTCCCTAACTCGCTTGGGGGCAGAGACCACACGTACCTGGGTCCAGGCTCGCTCCCTAACTCGCTTGGGGGCAGAGACCACACGTACCTGGGTCCAGGCTCGCTCCCTAACTCGCTTGGGGGCAGAGACCACACGTACCTGGGTCCAGGCTCGCTCCCTAACTCGCTTGGGGGCAGAGACCACACGTACCTGGGTCCAGGCTCGCTCCCTAACTCGCTTGGGGGCAGAGACCACACGTACCTGGGTCCAGGCTCGCTCCCTAACTCGCTTGGGGGCAGAGACCACACGTACCTGGGTCCAGGCTCGCTCCCTAACTCGCTTGGGGGCAGAGACCACACGTACCTGGGTCCAGGCTCGCTCCCTAACTCGCTTGGGGGCAGAGACCACACGTACCTGGGTCCAGGCTCGCTCCCTAACTCGCTTGGGGGCAGAGACCACACGTACCTGGGTCCAGGCTCGCTCCCTAACTCGCTTGGGGGCAGAGACCACACGTACCTGGGTCCAGGCTCGCTCCCTAACTCGCTTGGGGGCAGAGACCACACGTACCTGGGTCCAGGCTCGCTCCCTAACTCGCTTGGGGGCAGAGACCACACGTACCTGGGTCCAGGCTCGCTCCCTAACTCGCTTGGGGGCAGAGACCACACGTACCTGGGTCCAGGCTCGCTCCCTAACTCGCTTGGGGGCAGAGACCACACGTACCTGGGTCCAGGCTCGCTCCCTAACTCGCTTGGGGGCAGAGACCACACGTACCTGGGTCCAGGCTCGCTCCCTAACTCGCTTGGGGGCAGAGACCACACGTACCTGGGTCCAGGCTCGCTCCCTAACTCGCTTGGGGGCAGAGACCACACGTACCTGGGTCCAGGCTCGCTCCCTAACTCGCTTGGGGGCAGAGACCACACGTACCTGGGTCCAGGCTCGCTCCCTAACTCGCTTGGGGGCAGAGACCACACGTACCTGGGTCCAGGCTCGCTCCCTAACTCGCTTGGGGGCAGAGACCACACGTACCTGGGTCCAGGCTCGCTCCCTAACTCGCTTGGGGGCAGAGACCACACGTACCTGGGTCCAGGCTCGCTCCCTAACTCGCTTGGGGGCAGAGACCACACGTACCTGGGTCCAGGCTCTCTCCCTAACTCGCTTGGGGGCAGAGACCACACGTACCTGGGTCCAGGCTCGCTCCCTAACTCGCTTGGGGGCAGAGACCACACGTACCTGGGTCCAGGCTCGCTCCCTAACTCGCTTGGGGGCAGAGACCACACGTACCTGGGTCCAGGCTCGCTCCCTAACTCGCTTGGGGGCAGAGACCACAGGTACCTGGGTCCAGGCTCGCTCCCTAACTCGCTTGGGGGCAGAGACCACACGTACCTGGGTCCAGGCTCGCTCCCTAACTCGCTTGGGGGCAGAGACCACACGTACCTGGGTCCAGGCTCGCTCCCTAACTCGCTTGGGGGCAGAGACCACACGTACCTGGGTCCAGGCTCGCTCCCTAACTCGCTTGGGGGCAGAGACCACACGTACCTGGGTCCAGGCTCGCTCCCTAACTCGCTTGGGGGCAGAGACCACACGTACCTGGGTCCAGGCTCGCTCCCTAACTCGCTTGGGGGCTGAGACCACACGTACCTGGGTCCAGGCTCTCTCCTTATCTCGCGTGGGGGCCTGGGTCTTGCCAACCCCGCAGTGGAGGGACGTTTTGGATTCCTGGCAAAGGTCACACAAGCGCAGCAGCTGTTGCTACTCACCTCCCTTGACGACTCTACTAATGGGCCGCTAGCGGAGACGAGGGTGCAGATGACACGGCCATACCTCAACAAGGCACCACTGTTCGTAGCGGGGGCAGGCCATCTGGAACAACTTTCGAACACCTCCGCGACACCACACCACACTGACGAATACGCCAGTGTGCACTCACCTGCACACACTGACAAACATGGTGCTGCGTAGCGACCTGTCGCAGTCCGTGGCACAACCGCTGACATCATCATCCCGCCTCATAGCACTAGCGAAGCCCCATGGGGGGGCAAGACCGGTAGCAATAGGTGAAAGCATCATGAGGACGTCAGCAAAAGCGGCGCTCACCTGCATATCAGTATAGCTGGTGGGGGGGGAACGATCATTCGCGCTGCCCACGCTTTTACAGATGCCAGCCCGGGCTGCCTTGTCCTCCAGACAGCATTCAGCAGCATCAAATGCCAGGCTTTAGTCTAGGAAGCTACATCGGCACAAGCGGAGGTGCTGCTACTTACCATAGCAAGCAGCTGCAGGCCATGGCGAACCCCTTGCACTGCTTTCTGAAACTGACCCACAACTGGCGTCCCTAATGCTCACCCGTTGCATCTCCAGTCGTGCATCAAACCTCAAACAGACATCCCCCCTCCTCACAGTGAGGATAGAACCTGCTAACGACTCTACTCACAACGTGTTCTCTACGCAGCCCCTCGTTCTCAGCGTCCCGCTCCTCCGCATCCGCACCTCGCTCTGCCTCCACCTGCTGTTGCAAGTTGTCAAAGGCTGCCTGGATCTGGTTTGTGAAACAGTGAGGACAGGTGAAAGCAGAGCAGGTGAGAGGGAGCAGGGGAGAGAGGGGCAGATAGGGGGTTAAAAATGATGATGTGTGCTTTTCATCAACAAACACACACACACATGCCAGTAGCAATGGTGTATCTCTAAGCAACTCCGCTACACCAAACATCATACTTCATCCCCCCCTGCCCCTCTCATCCCCTCCTCCACCTTCATGCACGTGCAACATAACGGTCCACCCCTCCCGCACTCTCGAAAAGGTGCCCCTCTCCTTCGCTCTCGAACAGGTGCCTCCCTCCCCTCCACTCACACGCCCATGGAGAACACACCCATACACCACACCTTCACGCTAGTCACATTCACCCCAAACTTTGTGCTCGCATTCGATGTGCATTCAGTGTGCATTCAGTGTGCATTCAGTGTGCATTCAGTGTGCATTCAGTGTGCATTCAGTGTGCATCCATTGTGCATTCAGTGTGCATTCAGTGTGCATTCAGTGTGCATTCAGTGTGCATTCAGTGTGCATTCAGTGTGATCACATTCAGTCTAAGTGGGTCTGGCCGGCACTCATGTTTGTTGCAGCCCCCTCCAGCTCCTGCTGGTACCTGGCTGTGCCACACACACCCCTCCCGTGCAACACACACCCCTCCTATGCCACACATACCTCCTCAATATTGATCCAGTCTTCCTCAAAGTCATCCGCAGCAAATTCCTCGTATATCTCCGGCGGGATGGGGCAGGCTTGAAGTAGAGCATTCAAGTGCTCCTCACCGTCCCTTCTTCGGTAGTCTGCAAGATGAGGGAGGAACATAGTAGAAAGAAAGGAGAAAGAACTCGTGACGCTATGCCACTCCTCTTCCCATACCACCCCACTCAACACCCCCTACCCCCTTCCAATTGCCCCACTCCCAACCCCTTGCCACTTCCTTCCCCATGCCAAACACTACCCCAAGCCACCCCCCCCTACCCTCTCTTCCCTTCCCATACCACTCCTCTCCCCATGCCACCCCGTTCACCACTCCCCTCCCCCTCAGACATACTTGAAAGAGCCATCATTAGGTCCTTCAGGCTCTCCGCGTTCGACCGATTTTCGATGATTTGATCCCAATATTCGCCAATCCACGAACGAAATTCCTCCCAGTCGAACTCTGTAAATCGAGCAGACACGAAGGGATCTTTAAAAACGGCTGAAACCATGAAATAGGTATGTCCTTAGAAGCCACGAACGGCCCATAGCTAGAGAAATGGTCGAAAATATAAATGCAAAAGGGAGGGGGCATGGAGCACCGTGTCAAAGGGAGGGGAGGGGAGGGGGTGCGGGGGGGACGGGGTTTGCAGGGGGGGGGGGGAGGGGGGGTGTGTGGCCACGGCTCGCCGTGCCCAAGAGCAGGGGGGGCTGTACGCACGGTGCACCGTGCCAAAGTAAAAGATGGGGCTGAGGGCAAGGCAAGTGAGCTGTGGGAAAACGACAAAGGTGGCTGAGGGCACAGTGAGCAGCAGCAGTGGCGCGTTCACTCACCTCGTGGGAGTGTCTTGACAAAGCTGAAGCAGCAGCAGCAGCAGTAGCGCGTTCACTCCGCGTGCAGATCCTCCGTGCACACTTGGTTTAGGAGGGAGGGTCCTAAAACTTCAAATGAGCGGCAGCAGTGCCACGCTCACTCACCTTGTGGGAGTGACGTGACAAAGCTGAAGCAGCAGCAGCAGTGGCTCTGAGGTATGAGAAAATGACAGGGCCGCTGAGGGAAAGGCGCACTTACCATGTGGGAGTGGGTGTGGGTCTGGCGTTGAGCTGCTGGTTGCAGGGGACTGGCGGTTGGAGCTGTCAGCGTTGCTGGAGCTGCTGACCTCGTTGCCGGTGCTGCTGCTGGCGTCGCCAGTGCTGCTGCTGGCAGGAGTGCCGTGCGTGCCGTGCTCCCCCTCATCCCTAGTGGGAAGAGCGGGGGTACTTCCGCCTCCAGCTCCGCCTTCGCCTCCACACTCTGTGGGGGGTTTGAAGGGGGAGTGGCGAGGTTGAGGGGGTCAGGGTGAGGGACAAGGTGAGGCCTGCAGATCCGTGCACGTCTGCAGATCCGCGCACGCCTGCAGATCCGTGCACGCCTGCAGATCCGTGCACGCCTGCAGATCCGTGCACGCCTGCAGATCCGTGCACGTCTGCAGATCCGTGCATGCCTGCAGATCCGTGCACGCCTGCAGTTCTGTGCACGCCTGCAGTTCCGTGCACGCCTGCAGATTCGATGCACCAATGAATTCGATGTCCATTCTCATTTTCCACGATAGGTTTGAATGTGCATCTCGTAGTGCGATAAGAAACTCACCGATCGGCAGCGCAGATCGCGCTGCTGCATCGGAGTCGTCCATCTTTGATCTCGCAGTCCACTTGCAGAAAGTTGGTTAAAAACTCCTACTAAGTCGTCTCCGGAATGCGACGGATCCGCGTGTTACTGCGTGTGCTATGGTCCTCGAAAATTAGTTGAAAGGAAGCATGACCCTGGGAAAAGAGGAGAATCTGAGAAAGCCGGCTTACTCTCGCGTGGTATGCTAACTTTGAGACGAGAATGTGTGTTGTGTGCTGTGGCGTGGTGCAAGCGTGCTTGCGAGTTGGCATACTAATTCCAAGGGAGGTCCACATCGTGAATTGATGTGAACCAATCAAGTTGAGTCTAATAAGAGAGAGCTAATCCGGGAGCGCGCGTTGAGCGGTGTGGAAGCTTGCTAACTCCAAGGTGGGACCTCTGTGAATCTGGGGAGCGTGGTGAAACGGATGGGATGCAATCAAGGGAAGGAGCTGATCGTTCAAGATACAAGCGTGTACACCCTGTTTCTCGCTACACTGACCCGCGCGTAACTGGCAGGCTGGCCTTGTCCTATTCGATTTGCCCAAATAAACCATACCAAAACCTAAATCAACCAACCTCAACCGAGCTTTTTCACTCTGGAAGTCAGTATAGCGGACGTCAGTATGGCGAGAAAGAGGGTGTAGTTTAGCGTGTAGATACGTAGGCGGTGTTCGCCAGCACATCTAAAAAAAGAAAGGCCACGGAATGGCCGTGGAATCCCGAACCAGAGGAGGAACCTCCCGAATAGGTGTGGGGGATGGCCAAATCGCGAAATTTCGCGCCAGAAAGGGGAAGGGTGGCAACGGGATCAGGAACCACCCTCCCCACCTTCCAATTCCCCGTTCCCCCCCTCCACATCCTTCCAATCCCATGGCCATTCCAAGGCAATTCTGCTTGGGGGGGTGAATGGCGATGGAATGGCAACGGGACCAACGTTTGCCTGTAGAGGAAGCTCCCGACCCACTTTCCTACCTTCACGATTCCATTCGAAATGAATGAAAAGGAGGGCGTTCGACAGGACAACATGATTCCGTTTGGTTCGGACGGAATCATAGGCTCGGCAAGAATTTCGCGGGCTGACCTGCTTGACGGACCCTAACGAACCCTAACGGACGGGATCAGGAAGCCGAGACTGACCTTCCTGATCCCGTCATTTTTCTTGTTAAAAGTGCTGGCGAACAACGCCGTAGAGTTCTACGTTTCGGCAATGAAATTTGAACTCTGGGAAAGTTCACTTTTTGCTCACTATTTGATTCAAAGCGTTTCAGTACGTTTCTGCGCAATCGGAAGCGGTTGTTTCACCTCTCGAACCATCAACGAACAAATCCCGTGACCCACACAATGTGTGTGCTCTGGCGATGAAGGAAGGAGAGGGCTGACTTAGTCTGCCTGAAAAACGACTAAAGCAAGCATGCGCGTGCAGTGCTTAGCAAGCATGTGTGTGCGTCAGTGTTGTGCATGCGCGTGCTCTCGCGCGCTCCGCGCGCATGCAGGAGGCCGCGAAGCAGTGGGTGGCGACGCCGCTGCTTCAGTAGCGGGCGCGAGAGGGTGGATGCGCGAGGAGCGGAGTGGGAGGGCCGTCGCGAAGGAGTCAGGATGAGCCAGGATGGAGTTAAAAGCGCCGCGATCCGATTAGTTTCTCACACCGCTCTTCTCGTCCCTCTCTCACGCTCTCATTCCGCGCGAAATCGCAGACAAGGCGCGGGCGAGGGACGGACAGACGAGGCAAAAGTCAATATACGGAAAGCAAGATCTTCGCGACTGTAATTTGCTGTACGCGCGATGCGCGCGAAAGTGCGCGTGGAGGAGCCCGCGGCGCTGCCCTTCGCTGCGACGAAGGGCGCGCGGTCGTCAGGTGAGGTGGACGAGGGAGGAGGGACGGGCACGGTGGGGAGGGGGAAGGTGGTGAGGGGAAGGTGGGGAGGGGAAGGTCGCGGCGCTGCCCTTCCCCGCGACGAACGATGCGCCGGTGCCAGGTGAGGTGGACGAGGGGGGTGCGGGGAGGGGAGGGTGAGGTGGGGAGGGGGGAGGTGGTGGGGGGAGGGCGCAGTGGGGAGGGGGAGGTGGGAGGGGAGGGCGCAGTGGGGAAGGTGGAGGGTCGGGGAGCGGAGGGCGCAGTGAGGACGGGGGAGGGTGGGGAGGGGAAGGCGCAGTGGGGAAGGGGGAAGGTCGCGGCGCTGCCCGTTGCCGCGTCAGACGTGGGTGCATGTTTGCCCACGCTCCCACACCTCTCCGCTTTTCCGCTTCTCGCCCCCACATCACTCCCTCTTCTCCTTCCCGCGAACCCCTCCCCACCTCTCCGTCACCTTCCCCCCTTCCTCTCCACCACACCTCTCTGCCCGCCTCTCTCCTGCCCACTTCCCCAAGCCCGCCTCCCCCTCTATCCGTCCTACCCGCCACCCTTCACCTCCCTCTCCCCCATTGCCCAACCCCTTGTGGGCCTGGCCATAATGGCAGCAGCTGCTGCACGCACCTCGGGGAGAGAGAGGGGCCAAGCTGAGGTGCTGTGCGGAGATAGAAGCACAGCGGGCAGCACTGCCAGTGGTGGCGGGGGAGGGTGACGGGGTGGAGGCCACGGGGAGCAGCAGTGCTGTGTGCGGCGAGACGGGGTCGGGGAAACCAATCAGTATCAAAGAAGTTCCGCAGGTGCTGTGGTGTGGGGGAAAGGGCAGGTGCGCGTGGTGTGGGGGAAAGGGCAGGTGCGCGTGGTGTGGGGGAAAGGGCAGGTGCTGTGGTGTGGGGGAAAGGGCAGGTGCTGTGGTGTGGGGGAAAGGGCAGGTGCTGTGGTGTGGGGGGAAGGGCAGGTGCTGTGGTGTGGGGGAAAGGGCAGGTGCTGTGGTGTGGGGGAATTGCAGGTGCGAGCGGTATGGGGAAGGGCCAGGTGAGTGCGGTGGGGTGGGGGAGGTACATGGAGGCCGGCCCTGCCAGCCTTGTGTGCGGCGAGACGGGGTCGGGCAAGACCATGCAAGTGCCACTGAGACACTTGGCATGGTGTTACCGTATCATCATGTCATGAGATTCTAAACATGCAGATTTACATGCGTTGAACTGTAATTTATGCAATTCATCATGCCATGTTTCATCCATGCATCCATCAAGCATCATGTGCTGCAGCTCACAGCAATTGTTTCACATTATATACATGAGCAGTTAGCATATGCTTTTATGTCATTTTCATTCAATTTAACATGACTGAATATGACATCCAACGCTTCGCCCCTTCCCTCCTTCCCTTCCCTCCTCCTCCCCTTCTCCTCCCCCCCCCCCCCCCCCCCCCCCCCCCCCCCCCCCCCCCTTTTCCCCCCAATTCAGGTGCTTGGGACTGTTTCAGCACTCACGGGCCTCGAGCTTTGGGAGCTTGACAAAATGGCTCGCTAAGCTGAAGAGACCAGGCTTGAGAAGGGTTGGGTTGTCATGATACAATACAACTAACCTGTTGGTCAAATACTGTTGGTAGTGGTAGGGCACCTGAATCTGTTTCCCGTGCATGCTCTCTCGCTGCTGTCATTCTCAGGCCAACGCAAGCCCCGGCCGGCCACATGCGATGGATGCAATAGGCATGCCGCCGCGCTCCGTTGATTGATAATTCCAACAGTCGTGGCTGGCAGCTTGCCCTGCCGCTTCTGGCTCTGCAATCTTGGCAAAGTCAATTGCAATGATGTCAACCAAATGCTCTGTGATATGGTACCTGCGCAGATCAGGTCATGTGCACACAACACAGGTGGTTGGCAAGCAACGCAATAGCTATTGCCATTAGCTTTGGAGGGTACCATAGCTGGACATGTGTATTCTTTCTTAGCTACAAGTTACAACTGTACGCGCTGCAAGTCACACTTGGAGTTTGTTAGTCAGCTGAGCCAACTCGTACGATGCCGGTACCGTAGCCTGAACTTGTTGCAGTGACGCACCTCTCTTTGACTCCGGTACATTTTGATCATCCAAGAATGCTTCCAGCATTCCAGTCCAAGGTTCTCACACTTGCTACAAACAAATTCCGACTTGGACAATACGGTATATTCAGCTAAAAACTGCCTGTTGTCCATCAAGCAGAACCAAGTGGTGTGTGTCCCCTGTGTCCCTATGGCCCTCTTGCCACCCCTATTGGGCCGTTATTATGGCCTGCTGCCAGTAGCACCCTTCGCACTGTGAGGCTGAGATGGTATGCACAGCACAGGTGTGAAGCGATTGAAAGGAGGTGTGAGGCGGTTGAGGGGACGTGGGGCATCGAGCGAGACCAGCCAGTTCGGGTGCTCCCTTGTCACCACGGCCCTGACCTGGACCGTTCAAGTGCCCCGCTGCCAGCACCACCCTTCACAGTGTGAGGCTGAGCTGGTGCGCGTAGGTGTGAAGGGGTTGAAAGGAGGTGTGAGGCGGTTGAGTGGGGGGTGTGATGCGGTTGAGTGGGGGTGTAACGCAGTTGAGTGGGGGTGTGATGCGGTTGAGAGGGTTTGTGGCGCATCGAGAGAGACCAGCCAGTTCGGGTGGTTCCCTCGTCACCAGGCCCTGACCCGAACCGTTGCAGTGCCTTGATGTCGGCACAGTGTGAGGCTGAGACAGTGTGTCCAGGTTTGAAGCGGTTAAGGGGGGGTGTTATGTGGTTGAGAGGGGGTGTCGCGCATCCAGCGAGACCAGGCAGCAAGGGTGGTCACCATGGCCCAGACCTGGACCGTTGCAGTGCCTTGCTGTCAGCACCACCCTTCCCACCCGCTGCTGCTGCTGCTGCTGCTGCACCCGGCAAAGGAGTGTGAGGGTGAGATGTTGTGTGCAGATGTGAAGCGGTTGAGAGGGGGTTTGCCGGGAGATTGGACGGTCCGGCTGCTGCTGGTGGTAGGAGACTGAGTGGCGTGCCTGCTGCCGCCGCTGCTGCTGCTGCTGCCGTTGCTGGCACTGCTATTTGTGCTGCTGCAGATAAAGAAGTAGGCATGGCTGCTGGCTGCAGCGTTTGGGGAAATTGAGGGGAGCAAGACAGGTCCGGAGGGGATAGAGGCGAGAAAACAAAAAAGATGGAGACAAGAAAAGAAGTAATATCGATGGTGGACGGGGATACGAATCAAATCAAATCGAACGTGATGATGGGAATGAGAACTTGCAAGAAGCTGCGCTGCTGAGTGACAGCGACAGTAATGTCAACGTGATCGCACTTGCTCGAGCTGAGAAGGGGCGCGCACGCCGTGCTTCGTTCACTCAATGCGCAACGCGCACTCACCATGCTGGGGTGCGCGTGGGTGTGGGACTGCAGCTGCAGCAGCTGGGAGCGCAGCTGTTCGTTTTCTTCCTTCAACTGTGCCACCTCCGCCTCTAACTCTACTGTGTACGCCTGGAGGGAGGGTAGGGGGAGGGCATGGGAAGAGGATCATGTGGCTATGCTCCTGGGCACCCTTCAGGCTCCACTGTGTACGCCTGAGGGGGTGGGGAGAGGAGAGGGGAAGGGCTGTGCGCGCAGCTGCTCGTTTTTTTCCTTCAGCTGCGCCACCTCCGCCTCCAGCTCCACTGTATACGCCTGAAAGAGGAGGGGGGTGGGGGGGGCGAGGGGGTGGGTGAGAGCACCAAGGGGGGGATGGGGTGCGCGTGTACGCCTGGTGGGGTGGGGGGCGCGCAGCTGCTCGTTCTCCTCCTTCAGCTGCGCCACCTCCGCCTCCAGCTCCACTGTGTACGCCTGAAGGGGGGGAAGGGGGGAATGTCATGTGGTGCCAGAGGAAGGGGCTGATGGGGAGGGGGAGGGCGCCAACTCTACAGTGTACGCGTGAAGGGGGGGATGGGGAGGGCATGGGAAGAGGATCATGTGGCTCGGCTTCAGGGCACCTTCGCATTCAGGCTCCACTGTGTATGCCTGAGGAAGAAGGGGGGGAGAGGGGGAGGGCTGAGCGCGCAGGTGTTCATTCTCCTACTTCAGAGGGGAGCACCAGAGGGGTGGGGCGGAGCACAGGAAGCGGTGCAGCATGGTGTGAGGAGAGAGAGCAAGTGCCATACACACGCAAACAGCCATACGGAGATCCTGTGCCGTCCACCCTGTGCCGCCCAGCATTCTCCCTCCTCTCGAAGAATCAAGGGTCTTGACTCTTGACTCAGTGTGGCACGCACAGCAGCAAAGCAAGAGGTCTGGAAAACGCTTCTTCACCTCACCTCAACCCATCCCACCTCACCCCACCACATCGCACCCCACCTGCTTCCTCGCAGGGGACCGAGTGGCCGACTCCCTATTCTTGATCATCCTCTTCTGCCTCCTCTCCACCGGCGCCCCTCCCCCCTCCCCACTGCGCTTCCTCCCCCTCCGCCCCGCACTCCCCCTCACCCCCCTGCTCAGAGTGTGTCCCCATCCCCACTCCTCCCGCCCGTATCTGACTGCCCTTCTCCCCCTCCGCCGTCACAGTCCCCCCACCTCTCTCCCCCGCCCCCCCAACCCCATCCGCCGCCACCATGCCCGCCCCAGTAAACTCCCCCCAGCCCCCCTGCGCCCACACCTGCACCCACACCTGCGCCCACACCTGCGCCCACACCTGCGCCCATACCTGCGCCACACCATACGTAGTGGGCACCTTCCCCCCACCCATCCCCACGCCTCCCCCCACACCTCTGCCCATGCCCCTTCCCCATGGCAATCCCACCAGGAGGGGCGGGTCCCAGCGACCCTATCGCTCCCAGTGACCCCAGTGAACCCCCTCCCAGCGCCCCCATCGCTCCCATTGCTCCCCCCAGCCCTCCCAGCGACCCCAGTGAACCCCCTCCCTGCGCTCCCTGCGCTACCAGCGACCCGAGTGATCGCCGCACTGGACTTCTGCCGCCGCAGCGAGCGCGCGCACAGCACCCCCACAGCCCTGTCGCGCGCACGCGGATCCGCGCGCCCGGTAGCGTGCGCGGCGGCGAGCATGTGCGACTCCTCGGCGAGCCAGACGGAGCGTAGGATGTCGTCCATGGGCGTGGGTGCGACGCCCCTGCGAACGTCGCCTGGAATTCGTCGAGCGTGAGCGAATAGATAGACGCCTGCCGCGCCAGTAGTGTCGCAGCCCACGGTGATTCCTGCAGGGACGGGAATGCGGGAATGCACTGCAGTAGTGGTGTGGGAGGGCAAATGGAGGGCCGCCACAGGCAGGGCAGGGAATGCGCAGCAGCAAGAAACAGGATATGATTGCAACGTCAGGGCATCAGCTGTGCACATACCACGCACAGGGACATTTGAGCAGTGATTTCACTCACCAAACCACCCCTGCCACCTCCTCCGCCCTCTACACATCCCACGGTCCCCCATGGCACCCTTAACGTCACGATGGAGCACGAAACGAGATGATCATGTGGATGATGGCGATGATGCCCGTGTTAATGATGGTAATGGTGTTCATAAGCGTGGTAATTGTCATGACCGGCCTACTCGGAGCAACATGTGAGGCGCCTAAGTGGGTGAGAGCAATGGACGGACCTGATCTTCTAGAGGCGCTCGAGGTCGTCCGCCCTGCCAGCCCCCCACGCACCCCCCGCACACGCAGCGCACACGCAAAGGGGAGAGGGAAGAGTGGGGGAAGGGATGCGCGCGAATGAGCGGACCAGGCAAGTGGATAGGTGATGAAACCCTAAATTCGGAATACCGCTACAAAATGGTGGTTATGAGCTTGTAACTGTTGGCCGTCAACGCTGAAAACGGTACTCCATGGTGTGACACGGTACGACACTGCAAGGGCGGTGAGCGGTGCGCGTGCAACCCTGTACGGCTGACATTCTGACCAGGCGACGCATCACACGACGAAGAAACGAGAAGAGCAGCAAGTTGCAGGGAATACGGGTGGCGCGAGGGACGGGGGTGATGGCGCGGTAAATGAGAGTGATGGGACGGTGAATGGTGGGAGGAGGACGGCGGGAGAGGGGAGGGAAATAGAGAGACGACGAGTGCGATGAGTGCGAGGAGCGACGCGACGCGAGCGGGAAAGGGAGAGGGGGAGCGGGGCATACCGCTTGTTGAGGTGGGCGTGGGCCTTGTTGCAGACGCTGATAGCGAAGCGGCGGCCAATACCGCGGATGGAGGAGAGCACGTTTATGATCTTGGTGCGGCCGTCCACGGTGGTGTGCAGCACGCGCAGAGAAAAATGTGCTCACACCCCCCTCGCTCGCTACAAGCGCCTACCAAACCCACCATCGTAGCACACGCACGCCGCACTCACACACGCACAACATGCACACGCTGGTGGAGGTGGTTCTCGAAAGTTCGCAACGTTCTGCCATGGCAAGGCGATTCGACGAGGAGCCGCCATGATTGCAATGACTGACACGACGATGGCGTCTCCCTCTCCGCTCTCACCGCGTGCTCCCTGCAAGCACCCTTGTTGCAAGCGCCGCCCGCCGTGCCACCACTCTCAAGCAAGTCGCTTTATCGTGCCTTGTCACTTGTGACGCCCCTCTCCGTCTCATTCGCCTCCTCCCCACCTCTCCTCCCTGCCTTCTCCCCTCGTCCCGCTCTCCCCCCCTTCCCTCTCGCCCCTTTCGCTCTACCTGCCCGTCCCTCTCCGCAGGGTGGCGAGTGCGGAGCGGACAAGCGCGCGGGGATAGGTCGTGCGCTGCTCCGCATCAGGGCCATGCGCCACCGCGCGGGGAAATGATTGGCCACGCGGGGCGCGCCATGGCGGGCAGCGCGGAGATGGTGCGCGAGCTGGTGGCGGGGGGCGAGTCCGTGCTGCTCATGGGCGCGCGGGGCGTGGAGAAGAGCAGGGGTAGCGGGTGATGGGGACGAGTGCGCGCGGAGGGTGGTGGAGGACACACAGGAGCAAGGCGATCGCAGGCGGTGGGGACATGGCCTCGCCCATTCCGCCTGCCCCTCACCTTACGCCCCATACCCCTCCCTCCCTGCGTACCCTTGTTGCTTACCGCCATGCTTTCCACACACAGGCCTTCAAGCAAGCCCACCGCTGCAACAAGATTTGTAACTAAACTACCTGCTGCCGCGCAACGTCATGGCTGGTATGGTACTTGGGGATGGTGGTGTGTACGTGCGTGCAGCAGATGATGATGTGGGGAACCACATGGCACAGGGGGTGGTGATTGATGAAACAGAATTACAAGACTGTGAGCTGCAGGGCTCGTGCGGATTGGACCGTGCTGAACAAAAGCGTGCATTTAGAACGAGGTGCGGTGAACGGGGTAGGGCGGGAGGTTTCGGGGGAGGGAGACGTACCTCGCATTCTAGACGATTCGCGAGAGCGTGCTGTGCGGGATGGCGAGTAGCTCTCCCCTTTAGTGCACATCACTCCCGCCACCACCATTCCCCTTTTGAGCGTATGTCGCATTTACTTTAGCAACGATACGAGTTACCTTTTTGCTGTTGAAACTCGTCGCGCAGGCTAAGTCGCCAAGTTGCAAATTGGAACTCAAGGCCCAAATTGCACAAGATTGGTAATCTTGTGCAAGGTTGGGTGCTGAGGGTGGGGTTGGTGAACGCGAAGTCCTGGGGCCACCGTGTGTTTGGGGACCGAGAGTCCCAAGTTGTAGAGTTGTGAAACTTGCACTGTGACCAATCAGATTGCTTCCAAACCTTCTGCAACCAATCAAGTTGCATCTAAACCCACCGTAACCAATCAGATTGCTTCACACAGAAGAAACAGCACAAAACCAGCGAAGTGTGCAAGAATAGTAATCTTGCCCCGCGCGCTCCGCAATTTGGGCCGCGAGCGGTGAGCAAAACAAGACTCGACGTTGACGTCGGAAGGGTTGCGTAGAGCTGTATTCCGTGTGTAAGGAACATTATGAAAGAGTACAATATAATCATATTTTGCTTAAAGAAGCAATTAATTAAGTTCTTCATTTTAACTTAAAACAGGACACCGTATACGGTGCTTCGTTCTGCGCTGGCAGAAATTGTATCGTTCTGCGGTGGCAGAAATTGTCTTGTTTTGCGCTGGCAGAAATTCTCATTCTGCGCTGGCAGAAATTTTATCTCTGCGCTGGCATCCGTCCCTTTCACAGCTGTCAACCCAATTTATGCGCTCTTTTCTTGGTTCTTTTGTTCTGGTTCCTGTCGACTCGACAAGCACACCTGCTCTGCTCTTATTCCTCTTCCTTCCCCCCACCCCAATTTCTCGCCAGTTCTCCCACCCAGCCGTCGCTCTCGCTCCCATCCAGCCGTATCCTCTCCCTCACTACCCGCCTTCACCTCTCCTATTCACCTCACAGTCACTCAGTCCCACACCGCGATCTCCTCTTCCTTACTTCCCCTCCTCCCCGTCGTCGCCTCTCCCTCCTCCCCGCCGTCGCCTCTCCCTCCTCCCCACCGTCGCCGCTCCATCCTCCCCGCCGTCGCCGCTCCTTCCTCCCCGCCATCGCCTCCCCCTCCTCCCCGCCGTCCCCTCTCCCTCCACGCGGTTGCCTCTCCCTCCTCCCCGCCGCCACCGCTCCCTCCTCCCCGCCGTCGCCTCTCCCTCCTCCCCGCCGTCGCCTCTTCCTCCTCCCCGCCGTCGCCTCCGGCGACAGGTGCACGAGCGCAAGCGTGAGTTGGTGCGCGAGCGCGGATTGGTGCGCGAGCCCGGGTTGTTTTCTGAGTTACCGTGGTTATCTGGTGCGTTCCCGGTTCTTTCATCCTCCCTCCTCCCTCTGAAAAAAACGTTTTTCTTCTTCTTCTTCTTTTGTTTGTTTGTTTTTTGCTCTCCTCGTGAAAGAGCGCGTGAGAGAGCGCGTGACAGTGCATGTTAGAGCCCGTGAGAGCGAGCTCGCCTGAGAGAGCGTGCGAGGGAGCGCGTGAGTGAGAGTGCGCGTGAGAGTGCGAATTAGAGATTGCGTGAGAGAGCGCGTGAGGGAGCGCGTGAGAGAGCGCGTGAGGGAGCGCGTGAGAGTGTGTGAGAGAGTGCGCGAGAGAGTGCGCGAGAGAGTGCACGAGAGAGCGCGTGAGAGTGCGCAAGAGAGAGCGCGCAAGAGTGTGTGCAAAAGAGCGCGTGGGAGAGTGCGCGCGATAGAGCGCGCGAGTTTGCGCATGAGGGAGCGCGTGAGAGAACGTGGGAGTTTGCGCGTGAATTTCTGTTGCGCTTACTTTGTTTTTTAGTGCATCAAGGAAGTTGAATTCTCTGATTTTGTTTTCTTGTGCTATTAATGCAAGTTGTATTCTCTGATTTTGTTCTTGTTTGTGCAGGGAGTGAGTTGCATTCCCTGATTTTTCTTTCCTGTGCAGGGAGTTCAAGCTACAGCCTTTGTTTCTTGCGGAGAAAAGGGATGGGGAGAAGGGAGATGAGGGAAATGAGGGAGGGAGGGAGGGAGGGAGGGAGGGAGGGAGGGAGGGAGGGAGGGGAACGGGGGACAGGATAGTGATAATTTATACAAGGCTGAAATTCATTCATTATGCTTGCATGCTTATTACAGTAGCTGTATGTTTTTGCGTTGTGTGTCTCTGTATATGTGTGAGCCTGTATGTGTGTGAGTGCGTACATGTGCATATGTGTGTTGTGCGTGCTTCAGGGTGTGGTGCTAAGTGCCTCCTGAATGCAACTCGGATTGTGATCATCGGTGGGGCAGCTTTGCTAGCCTCTTCCGTACCATATCAATCTCAGTTGCAGCAGTGATGCATTTAGCATTCGCTTTGAAACTTTCTTAAACGTTGTCTTGTGTTTTTGTAATCATTTATGTATTATCGTCTGTGCTTGTTTTGGGGGTGTGGTGCTAAGTGTCTCGTGTATGCAACTGGGATTGTGATCGTCGGTGGGGCAGCTTTGCTCGCCTCTTCCGCACCATATCAGTCTCAGTTGTTGCATAGATGCATTTAGTATTCCCTTCAAAACATGTACGACGGTTCTTGTACACCATCGTTTTTGTGGTCCTTTGTGTATGTCTGTCTCTCGGTGGTACTGTTTGAGAAAAGGAGAAAGCGAATGAATGAACTATGAATGAAGTGAGTACATATAGGAAACCCTAATTGGGTTGTACCCCCTATGGGATACCCCACTATAGCCTACACAACAGCATAAGCTATATATATGTTCTGACACACCCCCATAGGCAAAGTGGGGGAGAACAAGGGGTCACAAGACCAGTCACGCAAAGCACAGCAAGCTCAGGGTGGATCACAAAGTCACCACACAGTCCGAGCACAACGACAAGGCCACAAGGCCAGTTCACATGCAGGAGTGCACACATATATATATAGAGCTAGACAAGCAAGAGCAGGTATATATATGTGACAGTACAAGCAAGGTCAAGAGGAGAGCAAGTGAGGCAAGACAGGTACAAGACCCAGCTGAGTGCAGAAGCGCTGATGGTCACAAGGCGCAAGTGCCTTGGTGAACACATCAGCAGTGTTGGCCTCAGAGGCCACGTACGCAAGTCGCAACTGACCACGCTGCTGCAGCTCACGAGCAAGAAAGTAACGGAGAGCAATGTGCTTCGTTCTGTGCTCCAAGCGCTGCTCTCGACACAAGGCCAGCATGGCCTTGTTGTCTACGTACAGCACTGGAGGAGAACGAGGCGGCTCTCCAAGGTCAGTCAGCAGGTAGGTGAGCCAGCGAAGCTCCTGTGCAGCCATGGCCCCGGCGTAGATCTCAGCCTCACAACTGGAGCCGAGAACAGAGGACGAGCGTGTAGCCCGCCACGAGACAGAGCCGGAACCAAGACTGAAGGTGTAACCCTGCGACGACCGCTGCGTAGCCTGGTCGTCAGCCCAAGAAGCGTCCGCGTGCCCAGTGAGGACCACTGGACTCCGCCCTCCAAGCACTAGCCCCATGCCCGACGTACTGCACAAGTAGCGCAACACCCTCTTCGCTGCAGCCATGTGCTCTGGTCGGTGTCTCCCAGGAGCAACATAGCGTGCAAGAATGCTAAGAGGGTATGCAAGGTCAGGTCGTGTGCAGGTCATCAGGTACATGAGGCAACCAACAAGCTCTGGGTACGGGCCACTCGACTCTACGGACTCATCCGAAGGCAGAGCTGAGAGCGAGTGGCGAGTAGACAGAGGAGTGGCCTGAGGCGAGGAGTACGTGAAGCCGAAGCGCTGAAGGACCTGCTGCACCATGTGTGACTGAGTCAAGGTAATGGTGCGGCGTGCTCTGTCCCGAGTGATCTGCAAGCCAAGGTAGCTGCGCAGTTCACCCAGGTCTGTGCACGTGTGTCTCTTCTGCAGCTCGGACTTCACGTAGGCTAGTCCAGCAGTGTCAGCTGTGGCAAAGACCAAGTCGTCGACGTACACGAGGATGTAGAACGGCGGCAAAGAAGTGTCGGTGCGCAGAAACAACGACGGGTCAGCAGTAGAGGGAGCAAACCCAAGAGCCGCAAGCGTAGTCCTCAGTGTGTCGTGCCACTCACGCGGTGCCTGGCGGAGACCGTAGACTGGCCGTCGGAGGCTCCACTGGGTGCCAGGAGGGAAAGTCCCAGTGAAGCCAGGTGGACGGCGCAGCCAGATCTCCTCGTGCAGGCTACCCTGCAAGAAAGCAGTGCTGAAGTCAAGAGAGTGGAGCTCGAAGTCGCGCTGAGCGGCTATGTGCAGTAGCACCCGAAGAGTGGTCATCTTCGGGGTGGGAGAGAAGGTCTGAAAGTAGTCAACTCCCTGCCGCTGACTGAAGCCACGAGCGACGTACCGCGCCTTGAAGACGGGTGGAGAGCCCGGCGGCCGCTTCACCCTGAAGATCCACATGCCACTGACGATGTTCGCCCCAGGAGGGGGAACCGCGTCAACGTAGGTGCCTGTGGACTTCCAGGACGCCATCTCTGCATCCTTAGCTGCCTGCCACTGAGAGGAGTAGGGACCCTCTACGGCCTCCGCGTAAGAGCGCGGAGTCGGGATGTCTAGTGCATCCGGGTCTCCCTCAGGGGCAAGTAGTACGGACGCGAGATGAGGTGAAGCAGCAGCCAGACACTGGAACTCCTCCTGCCTGTCCTCAAGGACGTCCGTGCCAAGAGCACACTCACCCCCGACGGACGGAGGACAGACAGACGCAGACTCAGCAACAAGACCGGCAGCGTAGTCTAGACGACAGCGAGCAGCAAAGTCGACGAGCTCAGCAACAAGCGCAGACGCAGCAGTGGACTCAAAAGAGGGGTCAGTGACGACAGTAGCAAGGAGACGTGTGACAGTAGGACTAGCAGCACAAAGAGAGTCGGACTCTGGGTCGGTAAGTGCAGGAAGGGAGGACTCAGGAGGAGAAGGCAAAGGGGCACGCAGAGGAGCAGTGGACGGACGCAAAGACATCCGGTGCGTGCCAGGGACAGGAGGAGGACGCTGACGCGAACCGCGACCACTAGCGCGAGCAGCACGAACAGGCGACGCAGGACGAGACGCAGGCTCACGACGCTCAGCAAGACCTCCAGTGGGACCAGTGTAAGGAGAGGGAGCAGGAAGTGGGGAGGCGGGCTCTAACTGGGACTGTGACTGAACAGGCGGTGGACACGCTGCAGGAGGAGAAAGACCAAGAACCTGCTGTAGGAGGGGAACGAAGTACGGCCGAGGCCGCGCGGCGACTCCAGACACAGCAGGGACAGCACCCTCAGCAGCAGCACCAGCGCCAACCGCACCTCCAGCGGGAGGACCTCCAGCAGCACCAGCAGCACCCGCAGCAGGACCACCGCTAGGAAGGACAGCAGCAGTCTCAGCACCAACACCCGCAGCAACTCCAGCTCCAGGCGAACCCGAAGGCCCAGCAGCTCCGGGACCAGCGGCACAAGTACCCTCAGCAGCCGAAGGAGCTCCAGCTCCAGCAGTACGTCTCCAGCGGCGAGCAAACCACTCGCGCAGCTCCTGTGGAGAGAGGGGCTCCCGCCGAGGCGAAGCACCCGGAGAACCGCCAGGTCCCGCACCGCCAGACACCACAAGGGGAGGTCCAGTGGCCGCAGGCTCCGCAGCTCCAGGCTCAGCAGCTCCAGACGCAGCACCCCCTGGCTCAGCACCCCCAGTCGCAGCACCCCCAGGCTCAGCACCCCCAGACTCCGCACCCCCAGGCTCAGCACCCCCAGTCGCAGTACCCCCAGGCTCAGCACCCCCAGACTCAGCACCCCCAGGCTCAGCACCCCCAGGCTCAGCACCCACGCGCGTAGCACCCCCAGAGTCAGCACCCCCAGGCTCAGCACCCGCAGCAGGACCAGAGTCACCCGCAACCTCGACCGGCTCGAATGCGTCTACCTGGGACACACCTGAAGGGGCAGGACCCTGAGGGGGAAGGGGGTCTACCGGGGGGGGACCTGGCACAAGGAAGTGCGGTGGCGGGGGGAGGGAAGGAGTGCGGTAGGGGAAGAGGCGGTAGAAGGGGACTGACTCGTCGAACGTGACGTCCTGGGAGGACAGAACACGACGAGAGGAGGGGTGGTAGAACTGCCACCCTGGGGCGTCAGGGGGGAAGCCGAGGAAGACACAGGGAGCAGCACGAGGGGACAGCTTGTCCGCAGACAAGTCGCGGACAAACGCCCGAGATCCCCAGACACGGAACGCAGACGCATCGCCGACCTTCCCCGTCCACAGCAGAGCTGGGGAGGTCTCCGGCCGGGAGACCCTGGGGTGAAGGTTGATCTGATGCGCCGCGTA